GGGGGGGGGGGAGGGGGAAGAGATGGAAAATATAGGACAATTTGCCCATTTTAAAAGAACAAGTTTAAGGGCTTAAATACAAGGCTGGCCCTTTAAAAACAGAACATCTCATCATTCTAATTGTACAGTGTTTTCATACCCTCCTATGAAAATTTCTACAGAAGTACTGTATCTAGGATTTTGCTAACTATGTACAGAGCACAGAACCTGTTGACTCTAAAACTATAAATTTTTGAAAAGTCAGTTACAGCTATCCTCTTGGCTATATGTGGAATGAACATTGCATGTGGTCTTTTCTGATAGTTTGTGTTCCTTTTTTAAATGAGGAACTGTGATAAAGATCATGCTCTCTCTTTTATTTTAAATGTTTAAGAACTAAATGTTTAAGAACAAAAAAAAAGCACAAGAACTTGGAGTTTTTGCAAGTGTCTTTCTGCTTTTGGTCAGAGAATTATTATTTTCGATCGCATTGTGCATCTGTCACAAATAACTTTACAACACCACAGCAGATCAATTCCACAATGTCAGGGAACGTTCTAGGCATCAATGGCCAGAACTTTGATGATTTTGGGAGGGGGAAACAGGACACAGAGCCCCTACCATCTGTTCAGCATAGCCAAAGCTTCAAGCACCTCTACTGGTTGGCACCCACTGACACTTTTCAGAAGAATACCACATCTCCTCTCTGTTTATCCTCCTAACAGAGTTTAATATGTTGACACCTTGAATGACTTCTCCCAGACAAAAAGATGACAATGTTGTGTACAGGAGTGAAGGAGGGAATGCACATAGCTCCTGGCATGGGGGAGGGGGAGGTGAGGGAAGGAAATGTGGGAAACTGGTATGAGAGGAGAGAGCAATGGGAGCCACGCAGAAACCTAGTGGGGGAAATTGGGGAATACTGATATAGGAGAGGAAGAAAGGGGCACACAAAGAAAATGGAAGTCAGGGAACCTATGGCATGGAAGCTAAAGGGTGTTGGGTTATACAGAGACCCTCATAAAGGGGGAGAAAGAGGCATAGGGCCATAGAGTCCATGGTGCAGGAAAATGGAAGAGCAAGTATTGTAGGAGGGCAGAATGTGGGGCAAACAGAACTCTTGGAAGAGAGAAATTAGATTTCCAGGTAATCTCTGAAGATAGAAGAGTCTTTAGAGTGGGCAGTCAGGTAGACCACCCTGGACACCAATACAGTAAACTCTTGCCATTTACAGGTGATGCATTCCTGGCACAATTGCAAATGACAAAGTTTGCGAATACTGTGAGCCTTTGGCTCTTCCTTTCCCCTCCTGAGGTCTGTGTGGCTCCTGAATTCATCCCAGCGGCCAGGAGCAGTGGGGAACTCACTGTGGGGACTGGGAAAAATCCTTGCTTGTTCACCAAGGTTAGCTGATCTTAGGGATTTCCCTGCAGAGCCTTCCCAGTATTCCTTCTTCCTAGAGAATCACTTCCTTAAACCCAAAGGCCATGTGAGTCATGTCTACTGGGAGGAACCAATAAGCATCTCTAAATACTTGCGCAGAGTATAGCTCAATATCTATCATTTCATTTGGATTTTGGCCTTAGACACATTTCTCCCAAAAGGGTATCTATGCAAAGCTCTAGCTGCCCTTGAAGACTTAACATAACAATGTTGCTAAAGGCAAGTTCTTCCTTCTACCCTGTGTAGCCTAGATTGTAGGTGTACCCAATTAATATGAAGTTGTTAAAGCAAGGATGCAATAAACCAAACTTACCTTTCAAGTTCAAGCCTCTAGGCTTGCTACAGATAATTTAGTTTAGCAGAGGACCCTGGATGGCACACTGAATGCTAGAACCAAACCAAACTTTATTTCAAATGAAAACGGTTAGTTTAGCAAACACATATAATTACCCATTCACACAGCTACTACAATTACCCCATTCCATCTTCAGATGGGAGTGTATCAACAGGAGATCCATCCCATGCCAACTGAATGAAGTCTAGCCTTATAACCCTGGAACGTAATAGAGCTCTGTCACAGGTGCACTTGCATTAGTGGGGCCTCCTAAGAGCCATTGTGGGGATTAGCTCTGGCCAGACATTGCACCCTCCCCTGGCAGTGTCTCTCCTCCTTCAGCCTCTCTCCCTGCTGGCACTTCCACTCCAGGAACCACCTCTGTGGGGTATGAAAGTCCTTCCGGGCAAATGAGCTCTGGCAGTCTTCCCACCCTGCCAGCATCATTTCATCAGCAGTTGATAGGGGATCTGGGCCTGCCCTCTACTTCAGGCCTGGCTCGGGCCCTCATACTGGCAGCTATGGTTTCACTTACCTCATACCTTACTGCTCTTTCCATCAAGTTTTGCCTCTCTCTGGCTCTCCCCCTTCTCTGGGATTGCCAAGCCACACTGCCCCCTGCAAGGAATACCTTCTCTGTAGCCCTTTCTGTTTCCAGCTTCCAGGCTTATATAGGCCTTGTCTGCCCCACCCAGCTTTTCTACTTTAATCCCTGCTCCCTCTCCCCTTCTCCAGGAGCAGCATGGGCAGTTCATTGGTCCATTTAGCCATCTTAACCCCTTCAGGTTGGGTGACCAGATGTCCTGATTTTATACAAACAGACCTGATATTTGAGTCTTTATCTTATATAGGTGTTTATTACCTCCTAGCCCCTCTCCTGATTTTTCACACTTGCTGTCTGGTCACCCTGCCGCCAGGTCTTGTGTGGGGTGGACCCTCTACCCCACACCCTTTTGGTGTTAATTGGTGCATTCTCTAATTTAACAAGGCTATTCCTTTTATAATCTATTATAATATTAATTAACTTTAAACCTATCCATTACCATGTTCACATTTCCATCACCTCTTTATTGGCTCTTTGCACTTTACATATCATTTAAGTTAACATCTCCACCAGCGTCCTTCCTTCCCATGATAGCAATACAGATTGCATTTTAATTTACATTCATATTTCTCAGAAACACTCACAGAAAGCTCTGCCAAAACTAGTTATGCCTCAGCCTAACTGCAACATAGCCCTGCTAACTTCATGTCCTTTCTAACTTCAATTTTTCCATCTGATTGTCTCCCAATTATCTTTTACTCATGCTAACAAACTCAATTTCCCATAACTTAAACAAAAACTAATTTCTACTTATTTCTTAACCTAACATGCCTTACCGGTTACACATACCTGACTTCCTCCAAACCACCAGTCACATGGCCAATACAACTTAAATCAAAGAACCCAGATACCTCTTAAAGGGGCCCCCTTCAACCACTTATAGAGTGTAAAGAGGAAGACTTGGATTTGGTTCTGAAATGGAAAGGCAAACTTTAGGGTTCACTTTTGGTCAATGAGTTATTCTCACTGCTGGTGAGAGAAACTGCCCCCTCTGACATGGCTTTGGCCTCTTATTGTTTTGCAACATTCATTCTGACTGCTGTGAGGAGACTTTGACTAAATCATCTTAGAGATCATTTCAGACACACCACGCTCCTTGAGCAATGATCTGTGATGGCATAACTGAATGAGTCAGGGTTCTGAATCCCTCTTGCTTGAAGGCTTTCTAAATGCACAATTGATGAAATATCTGCTAG